AAAAAAAAAAAAAAATCTAGGAGCACTTTTAAGTTTTGACAAGGACTATAAAAGTGTACTTTAAGAGAAAGAGAGAGAGAGAAAAAAAATTGTGACTGGCTTGACACATGGGAGGCCAAGCCAGATTTAGAGGGGGGGGGGGGACAATCAGCGCCTTGGGGAGCAACACTCCCCCCTAGCCTCCCCAAGTGACACACCAGATGTAGTCTATTTGCATAGAACCAAAATAAAAGGCTGTTCGTTTGGAGGTAGCCCTGGGACTAGGGTTGAGTCTATCTAGTGGATCCTCAACTTTAGAGACTTTCCAATATCTGGCTTGCCAAAATATACATGGTGAAGCTTTGATGGTCTTTGCCAAAATGCAATGGGCACTAACCTTGCAGTGCTTTAAAAGTTAATTACTAAAATGATAATTATATGCAATCCCTCAATATCATCAGGACAGTAATCATAACAAAATATATAAATGCAACTATAGAAGCCTTCCTTTAAGAAAATTCTGGTAACATCTAAATTGCTGGGTATAAATTTCTACAGGGCCCTATCACCTCTCTTGAGTGATCATTTCAAGGTTCCATACCATTCGGTTATTATAGTGGTCTGACATCAAGCCACAGCCACAGGCTCTACACCAGTCAGCACTGAAGAGAAAGCCAACAAATCTCTCTTATGTATAGTACTGGCAATACAGAACATAGACCATTTAGTTATTTGGCAATTAATATAAAAGAGGGTCTGTGGCCTCTGCATTATCAGACTGTATACAGCTATGTGGCTGAAGGTAATTGGCCTTTGTCAGAACACTGCCATGCATGAAAGCCATGGCAATCACTTGATGTTATGACACTGTAACACTATATAGAACTGGTTTCTACATACTAAACCTACTGCACATGGATATTAACCCATTGCATGTACGTACTGACCCACTATGAGTTTATATTATAAATTGTGTTTACACAGAGGCTCCACAAGTACTAAATAAGTCACCAATGAACCAATTACAGGTATCACCAATCACGTTTGATTCCACTTTTCCTTGATTTTCAGAAATATTTCCTAGTACTTTCTATTGCTGCTGATAATGTAAATAACATTATAATAATCTTAGTGTATACAATAATATTAACAGCATCAGTATTGATAGAATTAATAAAAAAACAATCATTTTCCTGATAACTCAATGAAAAGTGAAATCATGTGAAGTCACAAGATCTACTTATTGATTCCTGTGTAGCTAAGCTACCTATGTGCAAATATTTCACAAAACAACACTATAGTGAACACATTTTCTCACTGACATGGGGTTAATATCATGAGCAGTCCATCAATACTAGATTCAATTTCATCAGTAATGCAAATCATTTCTGAGTAACATATACAGAAAAAAAAAAATTGTCAAAGAGAATATATAAAGTGACACAAATAAAGATCAAATATTCTGTTCAGAGTAACAGTAAACTAAAAACCATCCCCTTATCTATGCAATAAAGTGGCCTTTGTACATTACTTCCTAGCAGAAGTTGACAAACGTTTACCGTATGTACTCTTATAAGGCAGATCTTGTAAACTTCCCTGGCAACTTGGATCATGGTAATCCATTACCATTGTATACAATGTCTGTTTTGAAAACCTATTTATACACCTTGACTTTATCAAGTGGGCCTATAATAATATATCTATATCTATTAAGTTAGTTAGCATGTATCACCCTTGGCCTATATCTTTGGTTAATGTTACTGAGAATGACACACAGAGATAGAGGGAAATGGGTACAGCCATCTTATAAAGCATAAAAAATAGAGCAATAAAAACCAAAAGTACAGCTGCTCCGACCTCCAATTTACAACGAAACGACAAAAACATCTGCTCCACATCACCGCCCAGAAACCAAGTCCACAACAACCTCACAAGGCCAGAGTTCTTGGTGTTGCATTTTCTGTAGTTGGCTGAAGTGCTAGTAAAGGAGAAGGTTGGAAAGGACTTAAGGAAAGGAAAAGCTGGCTACCTGGATACCGGAAACAGAATAGATCGGTTTTCAATAATATCAACGTATCATGAGTAATTTTCTGTTTAAACGTATACATTGTTTACAGAATCCAATATGTGCCTCTACAGTATTTATTTTGATGGAAAGACTTAATACAAACAAAGACTTGACAAACACCAGATAAATACATTATGGCGATGTTGATGTAACAAAACGATACCTGTCCACACGCACTGCCATTCTTCAGAAAAAAAAGGAAAAGAATTATTACATTTCGAGTCCGGAAGTGAAGTCCTCCAGAAAACCTCAACAGGAAATACAAATCTTCAAGGTACTAAATGGCTCAAAAAGCTCTCCTGAAGCTACGTCTTTATACGATGTAACTCACCTACAGCAGTAATTCCGCGTCCTGAGAGAGATAAATAGGTAAAACAAGATTATTTACATTTCCAGCCCACTCCTTCGTACAGCCTCAAGAGGAGCGCGCTCTTCTCTCTCCTCGAGTCATGACACCACTGAGGGAACGGGACTCTTGGCGCTTCACAAAAACAATATTTCGAACCGAGTAGTCGAGTTCTGTGCCTCGAACTCTTGGTGTGCGAATATGACGTGGTCCCAAGGAAGTGGTAGTGCGAATAAGAAGACGACAATCTCAACCTTGCAAATTATCCTATAACCTAAAAACTGTTTTAATAAACATATGGATTGAAATTCTCGACATGTGGAAATAGTGAGGTGACAATAACTCCCATTTACTTTGTTACTGATATTACAATTGTAGATGTTGTTACTGTTGCTATAATTATGATTATTGTATTTTTGTTGTTGTTGTTGTTGTAATCTTTATCATTATCATTATTATCATTACCATTATTGCTATCATTATCACTACGACTACTACTACTACTACTACTATTATTATTATTATTATCATTATTATTATTATTGTTGTTGTTGTTGTTGTTGTTGTTATCAATATGATTATTGTTATTATCATTATCATTATTATTATCATTATTATTATTATTATTATTATTATTATTATTATTATTATTATTATTATTATTATTATTATTATTATTATTATTATCATTACTATTATCAATATTATCATTATCATTACCATTGCCATTATTACTGTTATCATCCTTATCATTATCATTGTTATTATTACTCTTGTTATCATTATCGTTATTAATGTTCTTACTATTGTTATCATTATTATTATCATTGTTATTATTATCATTATCATCATCATCATTATCAGCATTATTATTAGTAGTTAAATCATTATTGTTATCATTACAATTTTCATTATCACTATTATCATTATTATTATTATCATTATCATCATCATTATCAGCAATATTAGTAGTAGTTTAATCATTATTGTTACCATTACAATTTTCATTATCACTATTATCATTATTATTATCATCATTATCATCATTATCATCAACATTGTTATTATTACCATTATCATTATCGTTATTATTATCATTGTTATTACTGTTATTGCTGTTATCATCATTTATTACTGCTATTACTCTTGTTATCATTATTATTACCTTAGTTTTATTAATATCATTATCATATCATTATCACCGTTACTATTATTATTATCATCATTATCATTATTATTCAATTGTTATATTATTATTATCATTATCATGATTATTATCAGTATTATCACCATTACCATTATCACCATCATTATGTTCATCAATATTATTATCATTATAATAATGATAATAATAACAATTATTATTTTTATTTATTTTTTTATTATTATTATTATCATTACTATTCTCATAATCATAATTATTATAATCATTACTTTCAGTATTGCTGTTGATATTACATTATCGTTAATATTATTATCATTATTATTATTATTATCATCACCATTGTCATTGCTCTCTGTAACATTGCAGATGTTGTTTTTGATGAGAGGAATTATTCGTTTTTTTTCTACTTTTCTACAAAATGTTGGCTTCGCTTGCTAATGGCATCTCCTGCACTCCTGCTTTCTCTCCTATTTCATCCTCCTGTTTCTTTTACTCCTTTCCCTTCCTCCACCTTACTCTAACGCCTTTCTTCCTCATTTCCCCTTCTCTCCTATTTCATCCTCCTGTTTCTTTTACTCCTTTCCCTTCCTCCACCTTACTCTAACGTCTCTCTTCCTCATTTTCCCCTACTTCTTCCTCGTCCTCTTCTTCATTTCCTTCCTCACGCATGGTCCAGCCGGAGTCTATTTTACTATCAATCAGAGGATCGTCTACGTTCTTCGTCAGCATCGCACCCGCCCCGTTGGCCCTTCATGAATGCATTCCATCCCTCCGTTCTTAAAGTGACTACTTTTTTGCCAGCCTTGACATCGTGTAAAATATGACAGTCGCTGATGTAGTTTATCATAAAGTCCTCTCTCGCCACACGGGAAAGCTGCACAGTGAAATGTATCTCTTGGGGAATATTATCTTGGGAATGTGTAGAAGGAAAAGGAGGAAAAGGACGAAGAACATTAGGAGAGAATGAAGAAGGAGGAAGATGAGGAGGAAAAAAGAAGCAAAAGGAGGAAGATGAGGAGGAGAAAGAAGCAAAAGGAGGAAGATGAGGAAGAGAAAGAAGCAAAAGGAGGAGGAGGAGGAGGAGAAAGAAGTAAAAGGAGGAAGATGAGGAGGAGAAAGAAGCAAAAGGAGGAAGATGAGGAGGAGAAAGAAGCAAAAGGAGGAAGATGAGGAGGAGAAAGAAGTAAAAGGAGGAACGCTAGGAGGAGAAACCAGCTAACAGGAAGAGAAGGAAACGGAAAAATGGGCGGAGCAAGAAGTAGAAGACGTAGAAGAAACAAGAGGAGAAGTGGCAGAGTCGATTAGAGAGCAAAGCAGGACTAGAAGTTTTTGACGAAGAGAATAACTTAAGTATATCAAGAAATGATTGTCTATAAATTATCATGTATCGCGTATATTTCTCCACGATCTATTGCTTGTTGTTTTAGCCGCTTGTGAATACAGTGGCGCTTTGCGATTCACTCTTACTTTAGGAACTAAAAGTAAGGGAACTTATGGATGACTGCTAACTGTAGAGCTGCTAAGGGTGTTGAAGGAAAAAAAAAGAGAAAAAGAAGAGTAAGATGAGGAAATAAGAATTAGAAAAGGGAGGAGGGGGGGGGAGTGAAAAAAAAAATCAGATGAAAAAGAAGGAATAGTAGAAGGAGGAGAAATGGGAAGAGAAAGAAGGAACGGAAAATAAAGTAAGAAAACGAAAAAAAACAAATTAATAAAAAGTGGGAGGGAGAGGAGGAGGAAGAGGAGTAGAAGGAGGAGGAGGAGAAGGAGGAGGTGGGGGTGGAGGTGGAGGTGGAGGTGGAGGAGTAGGAGGAGGAGGAGCAGGAGGAGGGGGAGTAGGAGGTGGAGGGGGAAATGGAGGTGGAGGAGGAGGAGGAAGATGAGGATGAGGAGGAGGAAGATGAGGAGGAGAAGGAGGAAGAAGTTGATGTGTATATATATGAAAAAATGGAGGATGTTTAATAAGGATCTCATAGAACCTCGAGCGTACCTCCACCCCCGCCGCCATGACCTTAGCTGATGGAAGCCAGCAGGTCAGTGTTGAACAGCCCAGTGTTTGCCAGCATTCAAGACTGAGTGAGTTTCAAGGCCCGGCTCCGGGACCAGTTTCGGGGCATAGCAACGGTTCAGCAATTTTATGATATGCATGCCCAAGCAAGGGTGGCGGTAGGCCAGGGGCCTCTGGACTTCTTCCGTGCCATGGAGCTGGCAGTACAACAGGGCGTGCGAGACTATCCTCAGGACATCGGGAATGCGGAGGGTCTAACGCATCCACCTGCAAGATGGCCGAAAAATGCCAGTTTGTCTGGGACTCCGTGGTTGGGGCAAGACATACCCTACCAGATGTACAAGGGCTCCTAAGGATGGGACGGACGTCGAGTTTGTGGCCACCCCAGCATGGCACTCGTGACAGGATGGTTCTAGGCCTGCACAACCCAGGGCAGTACACTGAGGCAAATTCCATAAGGGTGAAATTCAGGGTTTCCCATGGCGCTATATTTGAGAGATGTACCACAAGTTAGACGACGAGGGCGTGGCGTCGCGTGGCAAAGGGCCTAATTCTATCATTTCTGTTAAGATGGTTCGGGTCTCGAGCCATCTTTGCCGCATAGGTTAGAGCTTGCTGGCCGCGTCTGAGTCGAAGAGGAGGTACCCCTGACTCCACCTCAAGACGCTCGATCCAGGTACACTTCAGGGCTCCGACACACACACGCAAACAAGCATTCTGGATAACATCCAAACCTTTCAATGTTGAGTTCGATGCCAAACCATACACGATTGACCCATTATCTACTTAGACCTAGTCAAGACTTTATATATCATGAGCAAAGGCTTTCTGTCAGCAGACTTATTTACAGCAATACATTTTAATAAATTAAGTGCTCTTTGACATTCATTCTTTAACTGACCATTGTGTTTTTTTCCAGTTTAGTTTACGATCACAGAGTAGACCAGAAAATTTACCGGAATTTTTAAGTTAGCTTGATGTTCGGCATCTTTCTTTGTGAAATAGAGATTCCAGTACTCTTTCTTGTTGAAAACCCCACTGAAGGCCCGTTATGAATCGTATCCAGTGCAAGTTGGATGCAATTTGCCGAGAATTCAACATTACTGCCATAATGCAAAATCATCGATATAGAGTGAGTGTTTGATTCCAAGGGGGGGGGGGGTCTGGTAAGATACCAATGATCTTACACTGAAATAATGCTTATGACACTGATCAAAAAACAGACTGGCTCGAGCTTCTATTGTTTATTTTTTGAAGCCAATGGAAAATTGCGGTGAGACCTTAGTGAGGAAACGCATCGATAGAATTGTTATCAGATTCTTCATACGTATAATAATAAGAACAATAAATAAATAATAATCAATATGATAAATATAATGGTTATAGTAACAATATTGATATTAATCAGAATAGTAGTAAAAAAAAAATTATATAAATAATGATAATGAGCTGTATGAATAAAACCATTATTATCTGTAGAATAAAAGAAATATCAGAAATAAGAGCAATATTGGAGCCACGCCTTAGCATGCCGGAGAATCAGAGATGCCCACTGATCTATTCCTTTACAATAAACAGAACATAAAACACACACAGACACTTATGTATATATATATATATATATATATATATATATATATATATATATATATATATATATATTCATACCGCAGTGGCGCGTAACGTGGTCTCACCAAGATGGCGGCGATCAGAATAATCCGGCTTCAAATTTTGGCGCGTTTAAACAATAGGTTATTCGATCCAGTCTTTTTTTTCTATTCTTTTTTTTAGATCAGTGGCTGGTGACAAGACAATTTGACAGCAAAAGCCCTGTCAGTGATGAAATTTTGAATAAAACAAGGCAAGTTTCAACATAATACAAAAGCATCAAGTTTTCTGAGTAGGCCGTATCGCCAAGTCATGTCGTATTTTTTCTG